GACTATGTGGATGAATGCAATTAATTCTTAATTCTTCATTCATCGTTGTGACTAATTTTCTGATTGAAAAATTGATCATTTAATTGGGTGCAGTCGTTAATCCTCGAACGCTGGTTTGTTCTTCGTAGAGATATTCAGTGAAGTGACAAAAATTTCATCCAATAGCTTTCATGGAATTCGTTCAGGTTGCATGAGGAATCGCTCTTTTCGGGCAATCAACTCGGAATAATAACAACAATAAAAAATGAAAATTCTGATGAGTGTCATTGTAAATAATTATTTCTATTTGTTATCAATACCGCAAAAAATAACCATTGTGGAACACCTCCCACACCGAATCCTGTAAGTCCTCTCAAAATAAGTAGAACGTAATAATTTGGCGATATAGCACACAACGAACCCATAACAAACGTCATTACCGCTGAACATGTTAACCCCTACAAAAACACAATTATTATTATATTGATAATGTTGGTATTGATAACAATAATAGTAACGATATAATAATAATAAATAACAATAATAGATAATAACAGTAATAGTTGTAATAACATCAGCAAAAATGTACGATTTTATGCGATAATCGCTTTGATATGGTTGAAGAATAACAACGGTTACTATTGCGATAACTGCTATGAACTCACTATCTAAGAATGTTTTCAGATCTAAAAAGTACCAAAATTTTCATTCCAACACCGAATTTCTGTTGTTGGTGATGAATCAGAAAGTATTATGAACCTTCATAACGAAGTCTGATAATTTTTCGGGTGAAAGCATTCAAATACAATCCATCCTATCTGACTTTTTAAAGTAGGAATTTCAGCCGAAAAAGTGCATCGGAGTGATTTATGGCGGAATGATAATCACAGTTCGATATATTGCAGTAATATTTCCAACTGAGCATTTGCACTGTTAAGGAATATTCTTCGATGTATTACCTTTTTTCTACCATGTTTATCACAGATATTGCCCCAAAACGTCGAACTAAGCATCATGCCACAAAAAACAATTGTGGTCATCATCGCTTGTTCGAACGATGAGATATTCCATTCGCACTTCAACGCCGGCAATATCACGGCCAATATGGTCATTTCCATTGCATCTGCCATCTTAAACATCCTTTTCAATACCACTTCTAATCTTATATTTCAAACTTCTGCACATGTTCCGTCCCTAAAGTCAGTGCATTGTCCAAACAGATTCTTCATCCCCAACAGAAAATGAAACGTAAAATAATGAAATGATTGTTTTTGGAATATTTAATTCATTCACTGTACATTCCCCGTTGTTAAATACTATTTTTATGCGACCGTTTCTGAGATGAATGAATAGAAATGGTTGAAAATAGGAAATTTCAATTCACAACACAACAAAATTGCTGAAATAAATAAAACGCCATAAAAAGAATGTCATTAATAATGATGACGTTACTACTGATAATAACAACAACATCAAACATATCAAAAACTGATAATAATAATATTAGTGATGTCATTAATAAAGATGACATTAGTACGGATAACAACATCGAAAACTAATGACAATGAATGAAAACAAACCCAAACGATCCCAGTAAGAGCTGCAAGCTTCATTTGGAATGGCCCGAATCCGAGCGCTTCAACAGCATCATCAACTGTGAATGTCTTCTCGATCTCATCCTCAGATATCGTCGACGCACTCCTTTTCTCATCTTTCTCCGATTTACTATCACTTATTTGAACTGAATCTTCACCATCGAAACCGTTGTATTTGACGGTTGCTTCTTCATCACTTGGATGTAACCTTAAATTGCAGCATTCATTTACCTCTTCCAGTGTTTAATTTCAAATATTTGGCAGACTTTGATTGAAACTGAATGACAAATGCTGAATGCTACAACTCAAATTGTAATCATTTCATAAATTTCTCGAGTGCACAGTTCTCCGCTGATGGAATTTCTTTACTTTTCCGTTGTTGGGCAAAGAGATGTGACAATTTGACCATAACGTGTTCAAACAGCACAGAAGAAGACGTCACTACATAATAAAAAGAGAGTAATTAGTTTAATAATCGCTGATTGTGAGTGTGTGTTTGTTTACCACATTACGGAATCGATTTCGAATAATATTCAAAATTCAAAACTGATCGGAATTATGAGCTAAAACAAAGAGAATCATTTCAATAGTATTCCATTTTTGATAATCTCAAGCAGGTTGGCATAACAACCAAAGAAATTGTATTTTCTGAAAGCTACTATCTGCCGTTCGATCATCTGAAGCATTTACTCAAACAGTTACAATTCATTTGCAGTCAGTATGAATTGAATAATTTAACATTGCATGATTATTTGATGTACGTTAAGAAATAATTTATAGTTGCTTTCTTGATGGAACTCTATGATCTTCTTAACAATAAATGACATCTAGGCCGGGGACTGGAGTGCAGTCTTCATTCTAGGTTACCTTTCACTCCTTAACTAATATCAATACGAAATATAAGACCTTCCAATCTGCGTAAAACATTGAATGGTAATAAACCACAGCAGTTGAAATAACTATGAATATTTGCTCTTCTGTGGTATCAATTTGAAGGTCTACCTTTAAATTGATACCACAAAACTGAACTGAACAACATACGTAGTGGTGACTTGATTTGACACTTTGTCTTGGCTCATATTCTGACTGAACAACTGGTATAACACTAATTCCCACACGTTTGTGTTATCAATTTATATTATTGAGATAAACCAGTTAATATACCGATCGTAATGGAATGCGTTTTACAAGCGTTCCTTTCGAAATTTATGTTCAATTTATAATTTTAATGATCAGATTGACAGTTATTCAGATTTATACCCACATATTGACAAACACTCCTCATTACATCGACTTTTTTTGGTTTCGAATTTTCTGTCAATCATTTTGATTGTACCAATCGTTTTCATGTTTTATGAATATAAACATGAAAATTGTTGATGTGTTTTTGTGCCTATGAGATCACGTGTTTGCACGAGATCACCTGATGCGTGCGATAGAAGTGTGAATAATGAGGATAATACTTCGTTAATGGAATGAAATCAATTGAGAAACGTTTCAAATCTGGATGATTACAATTCCATACGGATTTGCCTATTGCACACACGCTGCCTATGTGGGTGATTACTCTCAAAAACAGTTGTTTCGTTCATTGAGAAAAGTATCAAATTATAGACCTCAGTAACATATTAGTTCACTTTACAGCCTATATTACTCTGAGAGAACAGTATCAGTGGGTTGATGATGGATAGAGTTTGGAAGTGGTGCGGATGAATTTAAAACACTCGTAAGCAGTCATGTTTCTTGTAGCGCTTATTCTGCTGATGAATTAATTGCGTGTTGTGAGACTTTTTTTTTTAGCAACAATCGTGGTTGATATATCGAATAATTCATCTCAAAAAAACGAGGAGGAATTCACTACGAGGTAACTCTTTATGAGCTGCTGTTGCGCAATTCTGTATAACTAAAGCCAAAAAGTGGAAGAACGACAGCCCCAATTTAGGTTCAATTTTAAGTTTGAACATCGAACACTGATTGCGGAATACTTCATAAAAACGCAGTAAA